TGAAATCACGGCTAGTGTGACATCACCACACTCAAGTACAAACAGATAACAGTCACAGCTGACTGTCCACAGTGCGTGGACCTGCAAGAAGACCACACTTTTCTCGGGCCATTATCTCCGTAACCGTTCAACTTTGGACATAGGTGTTTTGGGTTATATCGGCATACTTTAACATAAGGAACACCCTCCCGAAGTTTGGTCCATTCCTCCTGGGACACCCTGTATATACAACATTTACAGTAACTCCATTACCCAATGGGCTTTCAGATCATGATGCCCAATTGCTCACATTAAGAATAACACCCTTTTTAACTTCTTCCAGTTCTTCTGTCACTAGAAGATCAGTAAACGAATACTCTAGAAAAGAATTTAAGAATAATCTCAGCTATGAATATTGGGCTGACGTATTTAATATAAACGAAGATGTAAATATAATGTTCAATAATTTTTTAAACACATTCTTATAAATATTTAATACTAGTTTTCCTTACAAAAAATTAATATTCACCCATACCAAATAACAGGTATAAAACGTCTTGCATTTGTAAGAGAGAGCTATATTGGCTAAGTAGAAATTTCGATGATGTGGAATTAGCAAGATATTACAAGAATTATTGCAGAATCTTAACAGAGGTTATAAAGAAAGCAAAACAACGTTATTATAATAAATTAATTTTAAATTCCGATAATAAAATAAAAACTACTTGGAGTGTCATCAGAACTATAATTAATACTAAATTGGGGAAAAAAAAATCCAATAGCAAGCATAAATATAGAAGGTAAATTATGTAATATACAAAAAACAGCTAACGTAGTTACATTAATAATTATTTTATATCTCCACTACCACAATTAAAAAATAGTTCAACTAAAGACAGGAATGAAGCCCTTAAATTCCTTACTGCTATGTTTAAACACCCTTTTCCAGATATATATATTGTGACATGTTGACCCCCACCTCCCGAGCGGTACGTGGCGGTAACGTAACGCTCGCGTTCTTACGGTAATAGGCGAGTTCCCGCCCCGCCACTCCCCTCCGCGGTGACGTCACCGAGGGATATCGCGGTCGCTAGGCAACGCGAGTCAACAGCGGCGACGTTACGATAGTAACAGCGGTTACCTCCGCTAGCGTTACATAGCAACACAGCGCCTAGCAAAAAGGGTGCCTATTACGTGGCCGTTTTCCCGTATTGTCCGATCGAGGCTACATACGGAGCAGCGAAGGCTATTCACAGTCAGTTCTAGTGTGGCTACCGCAGAGTTGTACTGAGTCAGTCAGCGAGTCCTGGACCTATCGTCGAGTTAGCCAGCAACCAGTCAGTTGTATTGTGGCATTTGGAGTGTACTATTTGTGATACTGCAGATAGCAGTAATCGTCAGATTGTAATTTGGGTGATTGTAAGAGCGAATGTGAAATAAAATTCGCTACATCGAATACATCGAGAATTTATTTGTCGCGATATACGCCCGATACGCGACAACTGGTGTCAGAAGTGGGATTAGAACTTACACACGTGACCAACGAGATTCGAACTCAAAACACGTGATAATTTGGTGTCAGAATTTTTACGAACTTAAACACGCCTGACAAATAATTGGATTATTGTGCATCGAGTATTTTACTTCTACAAAATGGAGGAGCAAGACTTTCAACTAATACTTAAAATGCTGGAAGACAGAATGGAAGCCGACCATAAGGATTTCATGGCAGAATGGGAGGCTGACAGACAGGCCTGGCGAGAAGAGATGGCTGCAGAGAGAGAAGCCTTCCAAGCAGAGACGATTGCCTGCCAAGAGTTGGAGGCACATCTATTAGAAGAAAAGCCGGCCCCAGTGGACAAGAAACCTGAGGCGGAACAACAAGAAGAGGTCCCTGTAGACGACGTCGCAGTGATACCGGTCAGTGAACCTGCAGATGAATTGATGCCGATTACCCAAAAAGAGACGGTGGCCTGCCCAGTGGACGCGAAACCTGCGGCGGCACAACGAGAAGAGGTCCCGATAGTGATACCGGTCGGAGTGACGACGGCCTGCCAAGGAATGGAGGCACGTCCAGAAGAGGAAGAGCCGACTTCAGCGAACAGGAAACCTGAGGCGGCAGAATTACAAGAGGTACCCATACAAGACGCCGAAGTAATGCCGGTCGGAGAACCGAAGAAGAAAAGGCGCAGGGACCGACATCGACGAAACATAAAGAATTCGACACGGGAAAACTGTGGACCCCAGAATAAATTGGCCGTCGTCAGCAGGAGGGTGTCCCGCTCTGCAAGAGTGGCATGGCGCAAGAGGAACATCTTCAGGGAATCTTGGACCCTAGGAGATCATGAACCCCGGATGAAGTTGGCTGCCCTCTGCAGGAAGACATCCCGTCGCGCGACAGTGGCACGACGTTGGAGAAATGACTTCAAGAAGGAAACTCCCCAGGGAACCTTCGGATACCGGAGAAAGGACTTGGCACCAAGGTCTCGTACCAGCCAGCGGCTTGAAGTCCAGGAGGAACAACGACGTCAGCGAGTGCAAACGACGCATCAAGAGCTGTTACGTCGACATAAGGAACCTCCGAAGAAAGAAATGATCAGGGATTGGACCTTGTGGAGGGGACGACCCCCTCCAAAACGGAAAAAGAAGCAGGGCACAGAAGAGGAGCCGGTAAAATAGAAGAACCGGCCTCCCCATTGAGAGTGAATGTGCCATGTGAGAAAGCGATGGATGAATGTGATCTTCTGGCGAGCTGAAAGGAAACCGCTCGAGACGAGCTTTGTCTTAAGAGGGGAGCGGATGTACCGGACGAAGAATAGTCGCTTCAAGAAGAGTAGCCGAAACAACAGAAGGACACAAAGACGATGCTGCAAGAACAGCCACCGAGGAAAAGGAACGGGGATGCACCGTTAGGCTATTCGGGACGAACAGCCTTAAGGAGGGAGCAGTGTGACATGTTGACCCCCACCTCCCCAGCGGTACGTGGCGGTAACGTAACGCTCGCGTTCTTACGGTAATAGGCGAGTTCCCGCCCCGCCATTCCCCTCCGCGGTGACGTCACCGAGGGATATCGCGGTCGCTAGGCAACGCGAGTCAACAGCGGCGACGTTACGGTAGTAACAGCGGCTACTTCCGCTAGCGTTACATAGCAACACAGCGCCAGGCAACAGGGTGCCTATTACGTGGCCGTTTTCCCGTATTGTCCGATCGAGGCTACATACGGAGCAGCGAAGGCTATTCCCAGTTCAGTTGTACTGAGTTGTACTGAGACAGTCAGCGAGTCCTGGACCTATCGTCGAGTTAGCCAGCAACCAGTCAGTTGTATTGTGGCATTTGGAGTGTACTATTTGTGATACTGCAGATAGCAGTAATCGTCAGATTGTAATTTGGGTGATTGTGAGAGCGGATGTGAAATAAAATTCGCTACCTCAAATACATCGAGAAGTTATTTGTCGCGATATACGCCCGATACGCGACAATATATATATACACACACACACATATATATTGTAACGTGTTTTGCCACTGAAGATGCCGTTCGAATTGTTAATTGGTTTACTTAACAACCTACAAGTCGTTTTGTGTATCTACAGGGGGACCAAAAAAATGTACTCTCTCTTTGATAGTCAATATCTTTGGAACAAAATGACATGTAGTTACAATTCTTGCACAGTAGTGTAGTGTAATGTTTTCTCAACAGATGGCGAAAGTCACGAGTGATATGCCGCGTGAGTGCTGCGAACAGATGATAGCAGCAACAATGGCTGAAAGCTTGTTCTTTGAGCAACGCAAAGCTGTATTGAAGTGGTACTGATGAGGCGCAATTCAAAATGAATGGTACTGTTAACTGCCACAATTGTGTGTATTGTGTGCTTTGATTGGTCCTTTCTTCTTTGAAGGTACCGTAACTGGTCAGGTGTATCTCGATATGCTTCAGACATTGATTTTCCTTGCCATTCGAGAGCTGTTTTGAGATGAGAGATTTTACCTACAAGATGGTGCTCCACTCCACTACCATCGAGACGTCATAGTGTACTTGGATGACACTCTACCTGGACGATGGATAGGTCGAAGAGGTGCTACTGAGTACCCACCACGGTCTCCAGACCCAACACCTCTCAACTTCTACCTATGGGGAACCTTGAAGGATGAAGTTCATCAACAAAAGCCAGCTACACTGAACGTGCTACGAGAAACCATCGAAGCATCGTGCGCAGCCATCACACTGGACACACTGACAGCTGTAGTTTGCTCAACAGTTCGGCGGCATCAACGGTGTTTAGCCGCTGATGGTGGCCACTTTGAACACATACAATGACTCTCTCTCTCTCTCCATGCAAGAATTGTAAGTACATGCCATTTTGTTCCAAAGATATTGACTATCAAGGAGTGAGTATATTTTTTTGGACCCCTCTGTACATGCAAATTAACTCGAGTGCCTTCCATAATAATAACTCTGTGGTGAATAAATAAACTTCACTCAATGGAAGCTGAAGTTTTAGCCATTAACACCTTTGAGATTCCATGTTTACCAATTCCCTAGTTGTTCAATGATGCTGCTTCACCTCTCACAATTTAAATCTGTGAAAATATTTCTCACCAGCACCTCATCCTTTTCATAATTTATTTTAATTCATTACTTCCCATAATCTTTGCAAGGAAAGGTTCAGCTATAGCACTAATGTACCTTGAGACTCTCAATACAAACATAAGTGGACTGTATAGGTCATAAGGTCTAAGAGGCAGTTGATTGATTACCTGGAAGAAGTCATGATGTGGACACTGAGACCTCCAAATACAGACATAGCCACCATAACTGGCATGATCCAAGACATGATACCCAGGACTTTGTCAGCAAATGTCTGGGGAAGAAAAATAACAATAACTGATGATTAACAACAGTAACTACCACCAACAATTAAAGAAGAAAGTAAATATTGAGATCCCTATTTGAGATGTATCTGACTAGAACTGAGAGAGACTACAGGAACTGAAGCTGTAGGAATGAATGTATGTATAAGGGAAGGGGGGCCTTCTTGGCCCTTGCACCGCGACCTACGGTGATCTATTGTGCTTCCCCTTTTGATTATCCCCTCAGCAATCCTGCGCTTTGAATGAAGTGTACAATTTTGTATGTGGGGCTGTTGAAATAGTCACTTGGTTTCATAAAGTATTGACCCAAGTGACGCAATCTTAAATAAGCTAAGGCTTCACACTCACACAGGATATGTGTGGCTGTTTCATTTTCTTCTTGACACCTCTCACAAGTGGGACTATCACTTAGTCCCAGTTTGAAGAGGTGTCCTTTAAGGTGACAGTGTCCTGTAAGTAGTTCTACCACCCATCGTAGCTGGTTCCTGTTTAACTTCAACAGTTCCTTCGCTCTTTTAGCAGAGGGTCCTTGTATGAGCCCCTTTGCTTGCCTGATTCCAGTCAAGGATCCCCAGTATTTCTTGTGCTTCTTATTTGTCCAGTCCCTGATTGCCTTTCTGGCAACTCCTATAGAGATGCCGCAGACTGGTTCAGGTCCTATGAACGGATGTTCAGCTCCAATCTTAGCAAATTGGAAGCTGTAGGAAACTCTTGTATTAAAATCTCAGAATTATAATTTCACTATACACTTCTAGAAAGATCATTCACTACATCAAATGATAATGAAACAGACTTACTGATAATTTTAAAATAAATTCATCAGAACTTTCTAATCTCTTCCAGTGTTTGACTAAGATCTGGCACTGTCTGGTATCAATTCCACAGATCTGAGCCTTCACCAATTATGACGTGTTCTCAGAGAAGAACATCACTAAGATTCTCGATTACTGCAAGCTGCTACGTGTGACAACCATACCATATCTGTCACCACCCTTACTCCTCTCTTCACACAAGTACAACATAAACAAAATATGAACTCAATCAACTACGTGGGTAGGCTGAAAAGTAATGCACAAATGCTTGTAGAGCGCGAACAAAAACAAATAGCAAGAGCGGGAGAAAAGTACATTAAAGTACAATTCTTAAGTTTCAAAAGCATTTAACAATCAAGTTCCTTCCGTCAAATGTGACACTTTTTTAAGTTTTCCACCTCGTCAACACCTGCCTTACATGTTTCGGCTCACCACGGAGCCATCATCAGAGGCATTTATAGTAGAAAAAGAAATCACCAACACACAAAACTTCACTTTGTCCAAGATAGCCACTTTCCAGTTAATTAAAATAATTACAAATAGTTAAAATTACCCAGAATGTCGATTCACTAAAAGTTTTTCACACACCACAGTAGCTTCCTTATTTGATTCGTCGTTAATTCTGTAAAATTATGTTTCGTTATTTGAAGTAAGAATTCTTAAAATCCCTAGAATTCTTTCCCGCTTGGCCCAATCTTTTTGCTTCGGGATGTTGTTGNCTCTAACACGACAAACTCTACGCCGGAGGTGTTTTAAGAGTCTGTATGTGCTGAGAAGAATTTACCGTTGCCCCTCATTCCAGAAAATTGGTCACATAAACTCAGTGAGCATCCCATAACACAGTCAAAAGAAGTTCTTTGGCGGATGGTTGTGTTTTGAACTTTTTCGCCTGAGGAGAAGACGGATGTTGATATTCAGCGCTCTGTCTATTCTCTTCCGGGTCGTAACGATGGACCTATGACTGGTCCCATCACAATATTCAAAAGAAAGTCGTCTCCTTCATCACGGTAGCGCTGCAAAAGTTGCTCGCAGCATTCCAATCGACGCTGTTTGTTCTTGTCTGTGAGACGGCGTGGTACCCATCGTGCAGATTTTACGGTATCCCAACTGTTCAATAATGAAGTCGACACGTTCCTTGGATATTCCAATATGGTTTGTGATACACTTTTGAGTGATTCACTGGTCATTTTGAATCAAATCGTCGACGAGTTTGCGATGATTATCATCTGTGGCAGTGATCGGACGTCCGCTGCGTGTTTCATCAACAATTATGGTTTTCCAGGCTCGCAACCACGAAATTTTATTACCCATCGATTTACAGTAGACCTATCAACAGCATCGTCACCATAAACAGCCTTTAAACGACGATGAATCTCAGTAGGAGTCACTTTTTCAGCAGTTAAAAATTCGATAACAGGACGCTGTTTAACTCGCGTTGACATAGCACTAGAACACGTCTCCATACTTCCGCTTCTCAAAATACACTGGATGAACGCAACGACCTCAAACCTGTGCATGCATATTGAGGGGGAATGTTACTTCCACATGCCACCCGGCGTACTTCTGAAGGTCATTTCGTTCACGCTCTACAAGCATGTGTGCATTACTTTTCAGCCTACCTACGTAAATTACACAAATCTACTGCATCTCATCTGTGCTTAGGAGTGTACTACCGAAGAGCAGTGATCTTTTGTGCGTTCTTTGTGGGCAAAAAGGCTCGACGCAAAGGGTATTCATAAAGAAACGTTTCCTGTTTACAGTGGGAAGTGTTTGTTGTGTAAAGCAGATCACAACTGGGTTGAGAAATGTGGCAAATGTTTTAGTGATGATGAAGGTTTTGAAATGGAAATCCAGAAGTTGCTGAGGCAACAGTCAAAAGACCTTTATGTTGCGGTTTTGATGCACTGGTAAAGCGATGGGATAACATTGTATCATTGTTGGTGGAGGATATGTCAAGAAATATTTACATCCATTTGTGACCTATTTGCTGATTTTCTCCCATACTTTGTTGTACATAATTTTTGAACATGCTGACTAAGAAAGAAGGGAGATCAAGGTTTCCATTTTCTTAGAGAAGGGGGGAGGAGGTCAGAGACAAGGTGCATGTGATATCCGAATAAATACAGCAGTAATCAAACATGCTTTCATTATATGAGACAAGTACCACTGACTTAGAATGGTGTAAATATAATTTTCACATTTGTTGTAGAACATCAAAAAGCACCTACCACAGCAATAGCATTGGAGGTAATCATGGCTGTAGGTGTCAGGACTGCCAGGTAAGCCACATTTGCAAAAACATAGATCAAGGTAACAAGTGGCAGGGAAATGTAGATAGCTCTAGGGAGGTTCCTGCAAAACAAAAAATTTGGCATCAGTAATGTCTTCAACATGGAATTAAAATATGATTAAACCAATTATTTGTTCAGCTATAGGTGGCATATCATGAAAACAAGAATTTTCCATTTTTGAAAATACAAATTATTATACAAGTAAATGATAGTGCTGTAGAGTGACTGCATTAAGTCCTTCATTTTTCATTAGTAAATGTATAATTCAAGGAGCTGGAATAGTGTAGTTGGTACAGTGACTGGCTATGGGCTGGATGACCGGGGAGATCAGAGTTCTAGTCCCAGTAGGGTTAAGAATTTTCTCTTCTCCACATCGCCCAGACCGCCTCTGGGGCCCACCCAGCCTCTTATTCAATGGCCACTGGGGGTGAAGCAGCCGGGACATGAAGCTGCCACTCACGTAATTTATCTAAAGTGCATATTTGTACCTTCCAGGTTTCATGTCCATAACTGATTTAAAGTACCACATTAGCTATGTTCCAACCCATAATGTAATAAGCTGTAACTGTGATTGTCACGCATATGGAGTGATTATAGAAGGGGTGTGGATTGGTGACTCAATTTATTAACCACTTATATACCCACAAATTGTGACTACACTTTACAGATCACTAACACACACAGACTAGTGTCCTCAGTCTATTACAGTCTCCACTAGCTGTTTCCTGTTAACGGATTGGAACTACAACAGTCTCATTGAATTACATACTCAAAATATCGCAAATAAAATCTTCTCTTCACAGCTGGACTTTCAACTGAGCACTCTTGCAACTAATTAGTTGCCCCAAACCATCCCGGTTATAACATCTCGGCATGGACCAACAGAAAACACAGCTCTTCTATTGCTGTACCTGGATTTCTTGCTGCAGAGACGTGTTTACCACATCAGTGTGTAGTAATGGCCATGGCGCGGACCGCAGAGGGCATGATTCCAATGTTGTTGTACCATTGCTGTGGGAATGTGTTTACCAAGCCGTTGCCTAGAAATGGCTCTGGTATACTTGCTTATCTTGTGGCCCTTGCATAGCTCCCTCCTTAAGGCCACTCATCCCAAGTGGTTCCCACATAGGGTGCCAGGTGGCCCAGGTGTAGTACCATCAACCTTCTTTTCCACATCATGACACACAACAGGATGCAAACAACAAAGACCCTCCTTGCAGTCAGTAAGGGTACACTACCTAGAGTGGCCAGTGGTCCTACATCTCTGGCTCTTATTCTGCGTGCAGTCTCTTCATTTGTTTCGGATGAAGCCAACCCTTCAATAATGTTCTGACCTTTATTTTCCACAGTATAATGGGTGTTCTGACTGTTTGCTTTGTGAACTCCAGCTCCATGGACTTCCCGAAGATCATGCCAGATGTCTTTTTCTTCCTCAGACACAGGTGCACCTTCAAATCTAGGTCCCTTATTCCACTGCTGCTGTTGTACAGGAAGGCACCAAATGGTTAAGAAGGGTTAGGGGTTCTGAAAGTAAGTTTGGGGGTATAGAGTGTGGCGTTATCCACTGGGGTGGGGTCATGAGGTTAAGATGAAGGATTGGAGGAGAACAGGTAAACTAATAGATTCTAAGCGGTTCTGACGATGGTGTACAACACTTGGGGTTATGGGGTTTTCTGACTTTGTCCATTGTCCAAAAACCCTGTAACCCCGAGATATCACTAGACTCCACTCACTTTGCATCGATCTGCATAATTAAAGATGGGAGGTGACTGACTATTTTGGTAGCTTCCCTCAGTATGTTATTAAGCGGGTACAGTTGATCAGATGTGTGCCAGGTCTTTTATTAAAACTAAAGACCTAGCAAACATCCACACTTACCATTTCATCAGGGAAGTCACTGAAACAGTAAAATGCAATGTAACTTCAATCACGAAAATGGATACAAACTGCGCAATGCCTACCCATTCCCTTTCAATCCTTCCTTTTAACCACATGGCCTCTTTCTATCAGACATACCACTGCTCCATTGCCACACCCTTACTCCCACTATGAGATGCATGTATCAGTCTCCTTCACCCATGTGCCTCATTTGCCCTGATGATGGCAACTAAATTATTCTGATAAGATGGAACAGCTTCAATATATAATATGGTTAATCTCCAAAAGCCAAAATGGTTCATAGTAAACCATGACAAATTCAAAGATCATGTAGAACATAATACCACTTATATGCATCACCTTACGAGCCACAGATGAAATAACACCATCCACACAATATCTCAGCTTTCAGGGTTGTACACTGCACTGTATTAATGGGAGTGCAAAGGCCCGAGGAAAGGCAAGATCAGTTTGTGACTACTAAGAGAAATGTATTTTCTTCTTTTTTAGTTTTTTTTGGGGGTGGGGTGAGACTGAGTCCACTTGTTAAGTCGGCCAATAATGGCCTATTGTACCAGCCCTGGATAACAGATGATGAATGTGGAGCAGTCAGTGGAATGAGAATTGGCAGGGGAAACTTGAACAAAACCTTCCCCAGTGCCACATTGTCCACCACAAATCCCACATGACCTGACCTGGGCTCCAACCCGGACAGCCGTGGCAGGAAGCTGGTGAATAACCATCTGAGCTATGGTATGGCCTTAAACATAAATGCAACTCCAACTCACACAGTATTCACCCTCATGACACATCATCTAGCCATACATTACATTCACAGCTGCATACTAAATTAATAAAGTGAAGAATAACTTACACATAAGGGTCTTTCAACTCCTCTGTCATAAAATTCAAATAATTCCACCCAGAATATGAAAATATCCCTGAGCAAAAGGAGACAGCTATCTTCCCAGCATCTCTTGTTGAGCCATGGAAAGGATCTTTCAAGTTCCCTGCATTACCTGTTACAAAAAAGCAAAAAAATACTGAAATATCTCACATTGCTATAGAGAAAACATGGCGTTCTGACACCATAGCTTAAATAAATAAGCAATTCTGGAGTTTATTATTATTATTGGAGGGGTGGGTTTCCCCATGCACTGTGACCAGTGGTCTATTGTACATCCCCTCTGTGATATTCTACCAGTCTCTATACCCTACCGATACTGGTGCGTACCATCAGTCCCGACTCAGCCAGCGAGTTCGGCCTCTACTGGCTCAGTGGAATCTCTTGATGCTTTCTCCATCTATCAGAGGCGTTAGAGACTACTGTTGGGCGGGAAATGTCTGATTAATTTGGCTCAGTGGTCCCTTTGGGACATGAGGTTCTTTTACGTGCCGTAAAGCTACGACACGGGACCCATGGCTTAAAGTCCCTCCCGGAGGACTTGTTCCCTAAATTTTTCTGCCCTTAAAAATTCCATGACCTCCGCCGGGTTTGAACCCGCGTACCTTGAGTCATGAGGTGGGAACTTTACCCCTACACTATGGAGGCCGCCTTCATTAGGCTATGATCACATACTTGCTAATCGTCTCCAATTCATCATTTATTAATAATCTTATCACTTGGCACTGTATAATCTTAGATATTAAAAATTAAATTAAATAAACCTCCTGTGGTCTAACTTGGACATAGAACTTTTATAAATTTTAGCCTACTTTCCTTATTTTCAAGAAATAAAAGAAGGCTTATGAAATCACCTTGCTGTCTCTATATCCCCCACAGTAATTTGTTAGCAGGCTTACATCACCGTGTTATATACTGTCACATACTTCAAAAGTGGCATGCGTGCTGTGAAACAATCAACACAAAACATAGCTGGAGAGGGCTATATACAGCTGAAACATGTCATAAACACATATGATATGAACTAGCTGTCAAGAACAACACTCCATTAAAAAAGGTGTGGGGAGGGAACTATCTCTGTAACATGTAGTGAAGGCTGAACCGTCTGAAGACAATTCAAAGGGTTAGCCCCGTGAAAGGTGTCATGGAACTGCAGTCTACCACAGCCAATGCTCATATATTTCTTGTAAAGTTCTTTTCAATAATGTCACGTGACCCTCCCCCTCTTTTTTCCTTCCTCCTTTTCTTGTCGTGGCAAGATGACACGAATGATTGCTCTCTTTCCCTGGATGGCGGTCGTGCAGGGTGGTTGTCCCTGCTCTTAGAAATTTCTGTTTGGTTTCCTTTCTTTTTCAAAATTAAATTTATTTTTGGAAGTCAGCGCTGTGTGTCCCGGGAGAGGGCCCCTTTGCCGAGCTATGGAGCAATGGCGAGGCAAAGGTGTTTTATATAAATAGACACGTATGGGTACCCTGTGAGTATATGTACACATGTGAGTATTGTTATTTTTTTCTTTCCTTGGTTTGTGAAAGTAAATGGTCAGTGAAATGGACGGTGCCCCATGAATAAGGTATTGGTTTGAATGACCGTAGTGGGTCATGCTAGGTTTTTTGTAATATTATTTCTGGTATTCACTTCATATGTTTTATTTCCTTTATTATTGCTAAATGTATATTTATTTCATTATTATATTATAGTAATTGTTAAACTCAGTCAGCATAGCTCTCGATTTGTGCGTGTATTTCCCACAACAACAAGTGAATGAACTTCTCCCCCTTTCCCTCTCCTGAAATTCCGGACTGGTTACAGTCCGGGTAGGTAACAGTTCAAGGCCCACAGCACTGTGTGATGTCGAGGCGCCCGCATTTTCTAGACAATTAGCTCATAGATGGTGGTAAGCTTGTCAGCCTTACGCGCTGGCCGCGCTTTACTCCCCAGGAAAATTAGTTAATTAATTTCTGGTGTGCGCCCATAAATAATTAGTTGTATTATAAGACTCACGCATGGATGCACACACATAATAGACTTCAACTAATGCAAACAGAATGCTGAAAACTTGCTAGTTTTAACAGTGATGGTTTTGTTAGCCCCCACCCAATCAGTTGTCTGTGAATGTTATTCACTTTACTCACAGCTACTCTCCATATATTGTGTAACCCAAAGACAGGCTACGCTGTGGTGACAAGGAGTCAATTCAAAGTTAACATTATTAGTACTTACCCCAAAACATATATGCAAATCCCGCAATGATGATGACAACAAGGGCAGCAATCTTTGTGAACATAAATATATTTTGCAGTCGTGTTGTAAGCTTTACATCATAACAGTTAATAAAAGTTAGGAAACCTGTAAGAAACACAAATCAGTTACTTCTGTAACTCAACATGGAACATCTGCAATGTTAGCAAAAATGGGATTGAATTTTATGAAGAGTAACATTTATGCTTTGGGCTGTGCCACAGCAGGCTACAATAGGCCAATCAGTGGCCGCCGTGCCGAGTGGACCCAGCTGGGCTACACCCCCCACTAAGAGAATTAAAAAAAATTAACATTTGTGTTTTCAATCCAAGCATCGTAAAATCATCATTTCTAGAGAATAAAATTAAAATATTCAGATCATTTGAACTTCATTATTTGACCACTGTCTCATCCTTAGGACTTCCATTGCCTGCATCTAATGCGTGATTTTGGCTTTCAGGGTTTAGCCACTTCCCCAGACTGGACACGTGAGCAGAAATGGGCATGCATGATGTGTGTCACCAGCTGATTCAGTGACATGCTGCCAAGGACAATGACTGTCTGCTAAACTAAATGACTGGTGATGACCACTGAGTCCACCATTTTGACCTCAAACCAAAATGAGAGCATGGAGTGGCACCATGCTGCATCTCCAATGAAGAAAAAGGCTAGAACCATACCCTCAAAAAAAGTGGAAAAATTATGGCAACAGATTTTCCAGGATGCCAAGGACTGCACAGAAAGGAAACTGTAAATGCAGTTCTCTACGTTTAGATGCTCCATGAACTGTGATGTGCAATTTATGACAAGTGCCTGATGAAAAGACACATCATTCTTCGTCAAGATAATCCATGCCCTCACAGGGCACACCTAATACTGGAGAAAATTGAAAAGTGTGGCCAGGAAGTGCTCCCCATCCTCCTTACAGTGTAAACTTGCCCCTTCAGACTCCCACTGCCTGGGTCCTTAACTCTTTGACTGGCGCGGGCGTGTTTTAACGCCCGGACGATGCCAGCCGTTCCCTGGCGTTGGCGTGTTTTAACGCTTTGACAATCTCGTCCCTTCTTTGCTCTCTTGGCACTCATCAACCAAAGACATATATATGATAGTTTTTGTGCATGTTTGTAAAGAACCCTTGTAAACTTTGTGGCGGTCTATATTACTGTCAGAACCCTCTGAGAAGGTGAAGGTCAGAAAATATTTCACATTCATTCAGTTTCACCATGGCTTCTTGCAGCAAGTGTCTTCGTTTTCCTACAGACCAGCTGGAAAATGTTGTGAACGAGATTTTTTCTGATGATGATAGTGGCGATGAAATAATGATTCCTGAATTGGATGAAGTTGATAGTGACAATAATACAGTGATAGACAATGATCCACAAGACAGTAATCATGAACATTTACCTACCAC